GCTAAAGGGATCCACGAATGACACATCACATCCCTCAGTGAGAACGCGCGTGATAATGGAAACAACATATGGAAAGTGCTGTACCACAAATATAAAAGTTGCAATAAAAATGTTGCTTATTGCAATGACACCTTTCGCTCCTTACTGCCCCCGCTGGCGGTTCCATTAATACATTTATCATGAAGAAATAGATGATTATTTTCTTTGCTAAGGGTCGGTTATATAATCGCTTACGGTTCATTTTTCATGAATATTTCCTGATGTGCTCTCACCCCAACTTCACAAACAGGAAAAACAGGAAAAATTCCAGGTAAATACGGGGTTAACAAACTGAGCCATTTGTGTTACAGAGGCTATAGTCCAATGCGCAGCGGCCGTGGGTTCGAATCAAATCTCTGCCCTTTGCTGCATGTCATCCCCCCACTCTCTACTCCCAACATTTCTTATCTCTCTTCAGCTGTCCAATCTAATAAAGGCAAAATGGCCCAAAAATATCTCTAAATCAGCAGTCTCAAGTTCCTGACTTGCAGTTCTCAAAATGTTGAGACTATCACACATCATCCAAATATATCAGTGCTTCAGAGTTCGTGCACACAGTCGATGGTTATGCACCGTCCCAGGGTATGAACGCCATCAACCCCTCCCAATTTCAGGTAAATACAGGGTTGAAAGCTCACCTTGAAAACTTTAGGAACATTTCAGGAGTTTTCTGCATGTGTGAAAGCAACAATACACTTTATCTTAACACTTTTTACAGTTTCAGACAACACACAAGTGCACATGTGGTCAGACATTCTGCAGAACCTCAGAGAGAACCCCCCCCTCCTCTTTCTACCTTAAATCTGTTCCAGAAGGTCTCAATCAAAGATGATGGTCTGCTTCTCTCTTGTTGCTATTAGTTTGATCTCAGTCGAGATTGGAGGTGCATGGCAACACCAAGCAACCCAAAAAACAATGACCAAAAAGCGGGGGGTAAAGGGATGAGGCATTGGAGACCATGGAGGTGAGAATTTAAAGCCGTTTTCATGTATGCACTCCTGAAAATATCTAGATCATTTCTGGAGATTCTCCTGACCTGGCTGTTTACATATTCTCCTCACAGCGGTAGACGATATACAAGTGAGACCGACACAAACCTTTGCAATCCCTTTCAAAAAGGATTAACTTGAACAAGCTAGCCACTGTCTGTCACTATCAAATTCAGGATATTGACTTTGGACTGACGTCACTGGTCCCGGCCACACTCGGAGAAATATCCACACTAATAAAGTGAAATGAATGTTGATGTTTCTCGTTGGGATGGGAGACTACTGCTGGGCTGATGCAAGTCATTCCAGTCGGTGTGCGACGGACAATCTTCTGCATCATTTGGATTGGAAATGAAAATATATTATACCAATGGTCGCTAAAGAAGTCACGTTAGAAATATGAAAACACGAGATGACGGCACATCGTTGTGACTCATTTGAACACACTAAAAATAACGACTGAGATTCTCGTTTTGTTATGACTGGCAAGCAAAATGAGGAAAGTGTTCAGCATGCAATGAATTAATATTATGAGCCATAAAGCACAGACTGGGATTGAGGTAATCTGTCTGCTTACTCGTTTTCTATATTTCAGTCCATTCTGACTCAGTTAAGATATGACGGGGGAGGGGGAGGGGGGGAACTCAGGGGCCTTGGGTTCATCTCTAAACCTCTGAAAAAAGGGGTCGTCTTCCTTGCTGACCTCAGCTGGATTTGTTTCCCTTAAAGGAAATGACTGCAACCTCCACTGCACTTGGGTCATGAGCTAGACGAGGAGCAGCCAAACTACAAAGAGCTTAATCTATTTATAGGAAAACACCGCTCCAGTACAGTGATCAGGGGGGGAAAGGAACCCTACAAGACAGAGAGACGGTCGGACGCCAAGGTTACCCGCCAACTGTCCACTTCAACAAGAAGCATGCCCGTTCCCCTGCTTTCTCATTTAAATCCATTTCACTCCACAAACACATTGAACTAGCCCATTACTTTTTAGGTTGAGATCAAATACTTGGAGTGCAGAAAACATTTTTTAATTTTTCATATTCCACTTACTGGGTCGAATTAAGAAATGATGGCGTAGAATATCTGCAGATTTTAAAGGTTTCTTTTTTTGGCTTTTTGTGCATTTAATGTAGAGACAGGACAGTGGATAGAGTTGGAGGGCTACAGCCTCCATACATGTGGTGCGCGCACTAACCACTGCGCCACGAGCTCCCCATATCTGCAGATTTTAGTCTCAAAATATAAAGCTCAAGCATGTAAAAGCTACACTCCAAACAAGGCGCTCACAGGCAGTTAGGATAGTCCAATAGGAGGAAATAGATTCAGGCTGATTTTTTCTCTGACGCTCGTTGGCGTCGCGTGCAGACCACATTTTGAATGTAGATGTAATGTAACGCCCAAGAATCCAAAAATAGCGGACGAACAGTCACATGTATGTAGCGTAACAATCAACATCTGCATGCACAATGAATCCTCATTCCCCGCACCCTGCCAGAGAGTAAGAAAAGAGGGAATCTCCCATTACTCAGCGAGAGAGGATTCAGAGGAGACACAGAGAAATGGAACATGTAGGTTATAAAATAAAGGACTGTTGTAAAGAGGAATCAGAGAACAGGGAGTGTGTTGAGAGACAGGCGAGCAGCACAAAGGAAAGAAACACAGGTAGGCCCGAGAACCCTAGAGGGCCCTGTGAATCATCGTCGGATGTCAGCGGGCCACATGACGCTGAAGCTCGGGCCGTAAATTGTGGAGGAAGATCCATGTGGAAAGTCTATTTCTCTGATTTATCAGCCGACCGCATGAACACAGGGACCGGTATGCAACAAGATATTTGTTGTAATAAATACACGAGCATGCTGGGTACAAAACTGAGCATTAAAAAAGCAAACAGTGATGCCAAACAAAATGACTTCCTTACTAAAAAAAAAAGGTGTGCTGGTTTTCATCTTATTTGTTCAGTTTTCATTTTAAAATCACAAGGTTTTCACGACACTCACACGTGGCAGAGATCATTTAAAGTCGCAGAAGTTGAGATTTTGGCTCGCATCAAATGAACATTGAGGTTTCATGTTGGGTGGTAACACAAAAAGTTGTGACAAGAAGTCATTGTTCCCCGGGCCAAAGTGATTTGCCGTCTGCAGGAAAACTGGTGTAATGCTCCCTTACATGTCCCTCATCAGCCGATCAGGTTCATATCAGTGGAAACAATGACATGTTGCAGCTTTAGAGAGAGAGAGAGAGCAGTATCAGGAGAGCGGCATCCAACAATCATATTTCTTTTTTTTCCTCTCTCTTTGCTTATCCCATCAGAGTCCACCAAACATCTGACAACTCTTCCCAGCAGAAAGGGAAGGTCGTTTGTTTTCCGCGCCAAGATCCCTCAGTTATACAACTTCTGAACTTGTCTGGGTAGAACTGTTCAGACAGGATATTACAGAATACTTTAAACGCCTTCTTTTTCTGACTGCAAGACGGTCATCAGGGAAGAAACAGACAATATCTGCCTTTGCTGAGAGAGAGAGAGAGAGAGAGAGAGAGAGAGAGAGAGAGAGAGAGCGAGAGAGAGAGAGAGAGACAGTAGCCCTTTTCAGACTGCTTTGTTTTTGCGCAAAGATGCCGTTAATAAGCTCAGCAGTCATCACGTCTTTGTACGTTCATATCGATTCTGTGACGGCGTAATATTGGTGTTCAAGTCTGTGAATTCATGTTGTGTTTTGTAATGCAGAAACACAGCACAGTGGGGGATCCACATACACACACAGTCAGACATGCACACACACACAGCGCTGTGCTCCCCTGCTGACTCTGCTGAAACGTTTTTGTTTTCATGAGATTAGTGCGATGGTAGTTGAAGCAAACAAGCGCTGGTGTTAACATTGCTAACTGGACTTAGATTGAAACACATACATACACAGTTTCTCTCCCACTATGTTGACGAGCAGAGACGCCTGAATGGACTAGGGTGGTCACTGCTGCTTCATTCAACACGCCAACATCGACGGTTTAGGATGAGATCGGTGGCTCCTTTCCTGCATGTCATTCCCCACTCTCTCTCTCTCTCCCTGGTTTCTGACTCTATCCACTGTCCTATCTCTCAATTAAAGGCACAAAAAGCCCAAAAATAAATCTTTAAAAAAAGAAACCAAAAGGCCTTTGTAGAGGGATGGCGAAAAAATGTTCACAATGGGCTCCCCAAAAACAGAAGATGAACCCACTCCGATCAAAAAGTCTTTGACAAAGACACCAAACCCCTCTCCACAGAGTCGTTCATCTTTAACACTCCTGAGTGATCGCTGTGGGCGAAAATATCCACTCCACTCTCCAGTTTCTGACCTGGGAATCTCTCTCCCAAGCTTGTCAGAGAAGATGCTAACACACATGTTTACGTGTCCTCAGTGTGAACATTGGAAATAGTGGTCTTGATTTAATTTAAAAAAGGATAGGACTACATGTGTACATCCTCTTTGTAAGGTGACACTCTGCTAACTGCTTTGGGCTGGTGAAAGTGATGCATTAATGGATCTAATTGTTCACCCAGTTGAGAGATGATCATCCCAAAGTCCTGAGTGTCAAGTAGCACCAGTCTGAGGTAATGTACTCCGCTCCGCCGGGCGTGTTGTACCTGTGATGAAAGCTTTTTCTGCTCTGATGAGAGGCCCAAAATAACCCAAAAAGCACCATTATCTCTGAGCAGATCTGATTCCAGAAACCAAAACTCTTCAGATTGTTTTTGGGGTTTTTTTTAAGTAGAGAGAGAGAGAGAGAGAGAGAGAGAGAGAGAGAGAGAGAGAGAGAGAGAGAGAGAAAGAGAGAGAGGTCACAGACGTCCTGACCTGAATGTGAGGTCAGTTTCTCTGACAGTGGACGTGCGAGGGCGTCTGCTTTTATACTGCCCTGTGTGTAATGTGTCTGGAATTTTTTTTTCCTGACGAACATGTACGGGACACACATGCCAGTTTTTAACTCTACCATTCTGTTCATCCAGCTCGTTGCCAATCTCCTGGCCCATCATCTTTTGCCGGCTGATGACGGCGGCTAGTGCGTCCAAGCCCGCATCCTGAGCTGTGAAGAGAGAGGAAAGAAACATTAATAATATAATAAACTAGAGTTTCTCACTATACCAGAAGCATAAACGTCGATAGGATACAAGTACAAATCTTCAATACCAAAACAAGAGGTGTCGAAAAAGTATATAAATGTTGACAACCTCACTATAGGCTGGAGCGCAAGGATGCTAACTTACCGTAATTGAACTGAAATGTTTTTTTTTTGGTTTTAAAAAGTTCAGCATTCGGATGAAAAACACACAAATCTGCAAAAAGCAACTCGAAGCGCTGTAGTGTACATGCCAGGCCAGTAGTTGGCGGTGTGACTTCCTTGTGAAACAAGAGGAACTTGCAAACATAATGTTCCTTCTACAGAGCAGTGAGTTGTTCACATAGACTGTAAATATGAATGTTTGAAGCCTGAGTGACGTCACTCGTCTGTTCCTGCAGGGGGCTCTGGAGGCTCATCAGCAGCAGCCTCCATGTTGGAAATCCTGTCTCAGTCTAACTTTAACTACAGGCTGAGAGCTGAGGCGGGTTTTAAGACCCCTGACAAAATGTTACATCACGCCCACCTGTCAATCATGTCAGCTACGCACCTAACTATGGATAACACGTATCATTCATAAAATCAAAAAGGATGTGTTGTTATAAAAAATTACTAATCAGACCCATTTCTTTTCTATGAACATTCTGCTGTAGAAACAGCTTTTTATAATGGGAGTGCATGTGACTTCCCAGGCTCTTGGAACCAGCCAAGGTGTAGATGCTACTCCAAGTGACCCTGAACTACAAAGCGAGTACGTTTCAGGGAATGTTGACTGGGAACAACCAGCACAAACAGAACCTGGGGGTCCACCATTGTGGTTGTAACTGAACTTCTCGCACATGGCTAATACCTGGAACCGAATGTGCCTGAAGTCTCAGTTTTCAGAAAAACAGCATATTTCCAATTTAAGGCGAAGGAAAACTGTGCAGTTTTTCAGAGCTTGCACCCAACAAGGAGTTGTTGTTAAAACAAAAGCAAAGACAAAACAAAAGGTTCGGGTTTCCAGCTAGAATCGTTGTCGTGTAAATGTGGCCACAGACAAAAAAAGGAAACATTCTCTAAGAGAGCTCCAGGATTAAACAATGCCCGAGACAACACAGATCAAAAAGGGGTATCATATATGCAGAGTAATCTGTGGTATGTCCAATAACGCCGAGTTATAAGACGAACAATGAAGAAATCCTTCGATCCCGTCTGGAAAGAAGAAGGAAGCTGTAACAGTTTACTGAACGTGTGATTTAATGAGGCAACTATTCAGTAAAAAGGGAATGACAGGCTGTTGGGGTCCAGCTCGCAGCTCAGGGTGCCACATGTGAGTCATTCAGTACTTTACCCCACTCAGCCTCACTCCTGTTATTATAAGTGCAGCAGGCCGAGAGTGAGGAGGAAACGAGGCTGAAAAAAAAAGTAAAGAAGAAAAAGAGTAAACTAAAGAACAGATTCGGCCTCTGTAGGTTTTGACACTCTTTACCACAGGATTTTCTTATGACCGCACGTTCAGAAGCTCCACATTACCCAACTCGACCAGATATCCCAAGGGGGACAAGAAACCTCCATGTGGTTTGGTTTTGACTGTCGAAGCAGGAATCTCTGATCCCCATTTGACAATAAGCAGAGCCGTAATGGAGACACAGCAGTCTAGTGTCAGATGTGGACTAGAGGTTCATGTCACGACAGAACCAATCAGGAAGAGTTTAAAGTGGTGAACTATAATAATCAACATGTTAGCATAAATCAGCATATTAGTCCATATTAGTCCCCCTGCGGGGCCAGTATGTCCTCCTTCTAACTTTAGATTCTGCTCCTGAATGCTCTGGATTTGTTTGGACCAGAGAAGGTAGGCGCTTTTAAGGCACCCCCCCCCACAAGGCCGTTTTGGACGCCCCTCAGTTTGTCAGATATGAGAGCAGTTATCAGGTCAACAGGTGTTGCAGTGATGGAAGCAGTCAAGGGAAGTGGTTCAGATAGAAGTGATTGTACCCGACCTAAAAAGCCTCTGCATGTTTCTAATAAGATCCACGAGCAGAAACGTGCTCAAACTAGGATCAATATTGGAGATGCTTTTGAAAAATGGAGAGAGGTTAGAACACAGAAAGGTTTACAGACCCATGCAGAGCTGGATAAACACTGAAGCTTCAGAGTCCACCACATGGTGACCTGAGTGAGCATCCACTCTAGAGAGGAGGGGGCGGAGGGGAGACAGCTCTCTACAATGTTTAGAATTTGGAATGCAGTACCCGTTTTAAGCACTAGATGTCAGAGTTACATATCGCTCCTTTAATTGTGGGAAAGCCACAATCAGGATGATGATTAATCTTTGATCGAGTGCGCAACACTTAAGGGACTGTTGCTGTGTATGAATGTATCTTTATACTAATTTCAAGAGAAAATCATGAAAGACAACTCAACATAATGTTATTTAAATAAAGGTCAGAGGTGACTTTGAAAACCTCACCAGTCTGTTTGGTGTCCCACAGGGCAGCTGCTACCACGAAGTCAGAAAAGCAAAATATATAAAGAATCTCATTAATGTGTATTTACCTTCAATGATTCTTTGTTGATGCTGTTTGATCTCTCCAAAGCCCAGCCCTCTGGTCTCGTCCGTCTCGTTGATCAGCCAGGGGTTTGCTGCGTCTCGACTTCCTCCCGCACCTTCAGCCATCAATGTATATCTGTAAAACAAAATCATGATAACAGTATAAACTTTCTTAACTGTTTCCGGAATAAATCAAAAAATGTGTATTCAAGAATGAAAAAAAAACTGAAAAATCAGAACCATGGCTTTCAAAGTATTCAAGACAACTCAGGAAACGGTGCACTACGACTGAGGGTAAAACCAAGTGACCCTTTTCCCGTCAATCACCAATTCAGCACATAAGAGAAATGTTTTAGATTCAATACGATACTACAAAATATCAAACAAAAACCTGTTTTGATACCAGGGCATAAAAATGTAAGTCCAATGCACGGAGGGCAAATTGGAAAAAGTGACATTGCCATATCTTAACTTTATAAAATGAAGGAACTTCTTTCTTTAGTTACCAAAACTGCAACAACAAAAAACTCATGCATACTTCTCTAAAATGCACAAAACCATTGTGAACGTTTCGGCAATGAAATGTCGCCAATGCAAAAATTTCTTTTGGCGTCTCATGAAGACACAAAAGTTGCATCTCTTGCAAACAGACCCAAGAGGAGCCAGGAGATGAGACTCCTGGCTAAAATGCAGAAATATGTTAGCAGCATGTCAGTGTATTCATGCAATTTAGCCCGAGTGCAGTAGTTTTCTTGCAATTTTTGCTAACCATGAACAGGTAAATCTGTTAACTTCATTCCTGCATGAGAAATAAATACGACTTCTTTAATCTCAGCCAGACTCTCAGTGTGACGATGACTGCTTCAAGCTGTTACTGAGGTGGTAAGTCGAGCATTGTGAGACCACTCACAGAGCGGCCAAGCTGAGGCTGATACCATCAGAGACGCAGGTGAGACGGGGCATCGGGGGTCTAATCTCTCTGACATGTTTGATTACTAGGAGACCGTGTGCCAGCCCCTCCACTTCCTCCGTGCCGTTGCCCAGTGTGTGAAGATCCAATTAACCAGTCAGTGGGGAGCGCCAAAACCAGTCAGGCACATCTCTTGAACTAGACTGCCGCCATCGCAACCCGAGCGCCCATGCCCCTGACTGAATGACTCGGACAGGCGAGATTTAACTAATTACAACTATTTCCAGAGCAATCAGACACAAAGGAGAGGTTAGTGAATAAAGGAGGACAGGTGGGTCTGAGGGGTATGAGGGGTGACGGGGTGAGCTGAGCCTTCAAAATGTAGGCGCCATGTCCTTCTTTTGCTTAAGTCTGAAATGGAGATGCTGAGAATGTATTGTTTCAGGGATAGATTAAAGTCCCCTCTGTAACCTCTTTCTCTTTTCTTCTACCCAAAAGTTCTCACAAAAAAAAAAAAGAGCGGCTTAGATTATCCAGGCATGGCCAATCCGCCCCCCTCCCACATTCTGTCCTTAAGAGACCACACAGTGGGAATGGGTCCTTCCCACAAATCCAAATGACCCACCACATATCACTATTAAAGTTAGGTCTCACTGAGCAAACGTTAAAAAAAAAAAAAAAAAAACCCAGACCACATGATTACAGTTTGCTGAGCTAATTTATTAGAAAAAGTCGTTTTTACAGGGCCTTTTATGTAATTGGGTGTGTGGTCTTTAAAAAGATGAAAGCCTGTGCAAAGCAGCGCTAAGTAGTTTAGTCCCCAAACCAAAGCTTGTGAAAGACACCACAGAGAGGCAGTCTGTCAAGGCATCAATAAAAAACGGCTCTTGAAATTCGACGAATATGGTTTAACAGTTCTGATTGGTTTCTCTCTACTGTCCAATTCAGTGGCTCCTCAAAACTTTGGCCACAAAGTCGACATACTAAACTGGACAGAGCTGAGTTTTTCTAACGACTTGCAGAAAATTAAGGCAATAGAGAAGTGCAAAAAAAAAAAACTGCAGTTCCTTGAGTGTCCACTTGAGGCTGGCTTTGAAAGCCCCACAACGTGCATACACACCAATATGACAATGTCCGTTTTGACAGCAGAAATAACATGTTTACAGCCTGGTGGTCATAAAGTGAATTTGGTCAGAATAGTTGATGTCTTTATTGGCTTTGATTTCATGAAGGATAAGAGTTATGCATAATTAGGGGCGTGGCCCTAAGCAACAATGCAAGGAGGCGTGTGTCCCATCTCATCTCTACTGCTTTGTCTGTTTCTAAGGCTGAAAGCAAGGAAACCATTTTCCAATATGGCAACCGCCATCGTTGGGCCTCAAAATTCCTTTAGAGTAACCAATGGGTGATGTCACAGAGACTACGTCCATGTGCATACACACTCTATGTTAACCTGTTGGTCAATGTCATTAAACAGTAGAGATGGGTACGGAGAACTGGTATTTTCTTTGGTACCAGTACATGATGGGTCAGTACCAAAATGAACGTTGAGCTCATTGTTGCTCCTGTTGATATTCCCTTTTGTTTAATGCACAACTTTCCATAAGTGCTGCTGTCAGCAAAAACAGCAGACCATCACTTAATCATAGCCTACTGTTTGTTTTCTGTTGAAGAGTCTAATGAACAAGTTTGGATTCAGAAGCTGCGGCTAGATTTTTTTTAAGGTGAAAACATAAAGACATCACACAAAAGATTTTTTAGTTTACGTTTCAAGGAGACATTTGTAATTTAAAATGACTTTTAGTTGATTCACTAAGGAAACAAACCATTTCTAACATGCTCCCCAGACAGTTTACACCAAATAATGAAGAGTGGTATCGGAAAGTAACGTTATTGATGAGCAGCACTGACAGATTAATTGTAAGATACCACCAGGTTAGGGTCTCTCTCAAGAACATTTCGATCACCAAACATTTATTTTCCTTATTTTTTAAACTTTTCCTTTTCCATTTTATAGTTATGATTTCATCTTGAGTCCTCTCGTGTCTTTCCTTTTTTCTGTCTTCCTGCTCATCAGGCACATTTTTACCGTCTGATAAAAACAACCAGCTGCACAAAAACAATCCAAACATTCACATTAGAGGGTTCATATTGAACATGAAGATTTATAAAACACACAGTAACCCATGAGGAGGTAACAACATGATCCCATTTCCTCCTCCTGTCCAAGCAAATATCAGCGGGGCCAACACCGGGTCAAACTTTTCACAGAGTAATGACTGTATGCTGCTGTTATGTTGTCAAAGCTGTCACATCGGCGTAAAATCAGACGATGAGGAGGATATACGCTGTGACGTCCAGCTCTTTGATTAAGTCCACGAGTGGAGGAATAATTGCTCTGTGGAGAGTCGGACACTGAAGAGTCACACCTTCCACCCTTGTTCATCAGGACGCACACACATGATTTTTAAACTTTCGATACCATGACAACAAAATGACATCTCCTAGGAATCCAGTATCGGGTAATGTCTTGTTTGTGTTGCCAATAAAACTCCTGCAAACTTTCTAAATTGCACAAATATGTTGGCAATGTGTTGAGCTCTCTCTCTCTCTCTCTCTCTCTCTCTCTCGTTAAAATACGACTGTAGATCTGAAGATTATCTCAAACTTTGATAATTTCAACCATTAAAAAAAACATGCAATCAAAAATATCAAACATTTTGACAGCCTTAACCATCATACAGTCAAATGAGTGTGTGTGTGTGTGTGTGTGTGTGTGTGTGTGTGTGTGTGTGTGTGTGTGTGTGTGTGTGTGTGTGTGTGTGTGTGTGTGTGTGTGTGTGTGTGTGTGTGTGTGTGTGTGTGTGTGTGTGTGTGTGTGTTTTCATTCCGGGAGGTGCCAAATGTGTGATCAACAGTGCAAAACCAGCGATTCTCCTAATGAAGAAGAATTAAGAGACAAAGTGGAGCGGCCTGTCAGAATGTCAGACGGGCTGACTTCCTCTCGCGTGATGAGGTCACGGCACATGGGTCATAAACGGATGTACAAAGACTTTAGTGACTGCTGACATACCATCAAAAGACCAGAGGGAAAAGAGCCCGTGACCTCTGTGGTCCAAGGGCACAAGACAAGAGGATGAGGTTTCATTATTTTAATTGGGGAAAGAGAATTAATAAATCTTTGACTGAGAGAGGAAAATCCAGGAATGAAAAGTGGCATGTTCTGTGAATCGAGCAAATCAACAAGAAATAATAAAAGCTGGTTTAACAAATCGGCAGCACTGTCTCTGGTTAGTGTTAAAAGTATTCCGACATGTCTCTTGTGTGCCTTCTAAAATGTAAGACCTCTAACAAATACACATCAGGTGATTTTAAGATATTGTTGACCTTGAATGCAACATTTGTTTTAAGGACCGGCGGGGGGACCCTGTTTTACCTGGAGGGCTCGGACTCTGTGACGTCTCCCTTGAAGGAGGCATTGAGCTGCCTGTCTCTGGTGAGCAGGTCGTCAATGAGGTTCTGCCTCCTATCCGCTTCTGACTGCATGCTGATGAGGCCGCGTTAAGGTCAAACTAAAGGTCAACTTTACTTTAACATAAGAAGAAGAAGATGGCTGATCAACATGAGTCTTGTTCTGCTCGAGGTTGGATCTTTGAATTGGTGCTGTACAAATAAAGATTGTTTGATAATGGCGCTGACTGAGCCCACACTTTGCAACTTTTATCAGGGAACACTAAGACAAATTATTGAGTGTCAACTTGTGAACTGTCCTGATTTCATCCCTGTGATGTATTGATTATTTATACTTCTTCGGTCTGAAATAAAGTCAGTGAAGTTTCTACCTATACTTGGCAGTTCAGACAGACTCTTTCCAAAACACTCTAATGCCCTCTACAGGACAAAAGCTGCTACTACAACAAGGAAAACCCTCATCTTCATCTCCTGACTTCCACTGTGTCAGAGCATAAGGATACATGCGGCGAGATGACGACGCTCGCAACACACCATCTTTGAGCTGGCCGATATTTTGTTTGAGCTTCTGCAGCGATGCCCGAAGTGTCATGTTGATCTGCAGGAAAAGACAGAACAGAAAACCTTTATTGACATCGCACACATCCAAAAAAGTTATCAAAAATTGTATAAAAGAGGTGGATAAAAATGTAGATGTAGATTTAAAAGAAGGTAGTGAAGATACTGACACAAACAAATAACTAGAGAGACTCGACATTTTCACCAAAACCCCTTTCCCTTGTGGCTATAACCCCTTACCTTTGCTGGGTTTCCCCCCGTTCTCTGCTGCCTGTTCCGTTCATGGATGTTTTCGGCAATTTCCTGTGCCAAGCGACAAGTGGCATCATAGTCCTGTAACCTAGAGATGGATGAATGGGAAAGAAGTGTCACAATAATTCACCTAACATCACTGAGTCAGGACAATCAGCCCACCTCAGATAAAGTGCTGAGCAACAGAGAGAGACTCATGTTTAATAACAGGATTTATGTGGTGTGAAACACAGCAGACAACCATGACCAGTCCCTGGATATGTGCACAGTGAAGACAGTACACTTATTAAATCTTCATACACCCCCATAAGCCTTTTCCTTTTGACCACTGACAGGTGGAGTGAAAAACACTGATTATCTCTTTACCGTGGTTCCTGTCGGTCAGTGTTCCGGACATGTCCTTGAAGTTGGTGTGTTGGAAGCAGGGAAAATGGCCATGGGTAAAGAGGTAAGCAACTTTGACATAGCCAAATTGTGATGGAGAGGCAACAAAGTCAGAGCATGTCCAAAACTGTAGCTCTTGTGTGTTGTGTCTTGTTGGTGTGTTGCCGGTCTGCAGTGGTCACTACAGACCAAAAGACCGGCACCATGTGGTGTAATCCAATCAGAGAGCAACTGGACTTAAAATTGTTGAAATAGTTCATGTTGGTTCTGATAGAGAAGGTCAGAACACACAGGTGATTGTAGTTTTTTTAAATACAGAGTTGCATAGCCGCAGGCCGGTCAAGACCCATGCTGACCCCTGTCGCAAGCATCAGAGCTGGACCACGGACGTAGGCTAATTAATAGAGTCTCTGCACATGTTGGCCTTCAATCTTTATCAGGGCAGGACCAAAACTGCCCTGGAAAGAAGGTCGTCTACAGGATGTAGGTACACTAATATGAATTACATATCAGGAATACATCACTTTACAATTCAGGACGAGTATTGTTTTGATTGATTGATCGATTAAATTCATTTCAGACATATCAAATAAAATCAAACATATCAAAAATACAAAACAAAATGAAAAGCACAAAATTACAATAATGTTTAAATTATTTCACAAAAAAAGAAAAAGAAAAAGAAAATTACACATATTCAATTGATATGCCTGAAAAGGAGTAGGAAGTAGGAAGAAGTATAAAACTTATATAATCCTTTTCCACAGCTCAATAATTAATATTTATTAAATTAAATTAACTTCCTGTGTTCCTTATAATCTCTCTATGTATACAATCTATCTATATACAATATTTATGATACTATATTTGATATTTACAATCCAATGATTTTCCATACATACATACAACTTGATATACTATGATTATTTTATAATTTATATATTTATACAATCCATATATCTATATATATATATATATATATATATATATACACATATCTATTTGTACAATTTGATGTGCTATATTTACATTTTATATATGTATACAATCCTTATATCTTTACAGTTTGGTACAGTATGTTTACAATTATACATTTAATACAATCTATATCTATATATACAATTTGATATAGGCTACTATATGTACAATTTACATATACTGTATATAATACACATTAACATACACCTGTGTATACAAAACTTGTAAACCCAATTATTATTATTGTTATTATATTTATTTTATTATTATTAATTATTTTTTTAATTATTTTGTTATTATTATTATTTTATTTTTTTATTATTATTATTATTATTATTATTAATTATTTTTTTTATTTTTTTTATTTTTTATTTTTTTTATTATTATTTATCTTTTATTTTTTATTATTATTATTATTTTAATTATTATTTGTTTTTCTTAAAGCTCTCCCTCCTCCCTGTACCTTTTGAAAAGTATTGTAGTATGTGGCAGTATTGGAGTAATATTTGAACAACAGTATTTACACTCACAAACACAATATTGTCTAAAAAGTCACCTGAGGGATGAATGAGGAAGTTTTCAGACACAATGACACAAAACAAACTCATATTCTGATTAAAACTGTTGTGTGTATTTAGTGTGTCCACCTCTGAACAGCTTTGATTTCAGGTAAATATATCATCAAGTGTGTAAAAATGACCTGGAGCTCTTTAAGCTCACAGAATGAACTTAAAGAGCTCCAGGTCATTATGAGCTTCTCTAAAATGTTTCAGTGTGTTGATCTTCAGCTTAACAACCATCATGTGACACTTTAGCATCTCTCTTTTCCTCTTTCGTTTCTCCTTCCTGCTCCCAAAGTTCACAACAAACGATGCCTCAGAATAAATCTCCTCGACCTCATCCATAACCGCTACACTACAATGAATAACACCTGAACAGACTCATTTGTAGAAAGGTTTTAAAGGAATATCAGACTCTTTGTTTTTAGCTAACAGCTAGCCCTGCAGCTAACAGGATGCAGATAGATTATGTGACTTTTTAGGTTTAATAACGTGATAAACTGAAGTTAAAAACACAGAAGGAGTTATTAATTGTAGCCTCTGATCAAATAACTCACCAGGGGTCCTGAGACATTGTGATAAAAGTGAGCTACGAAGAAGAAAATCCACGTAGTTTGAACCATCCGGCAGTAATCACCAGCGAACTGTTTCTTGTTTGTGTGTGACGTCACTACGGCAACGCGAGAGGTGCTGGAGTCGCGTTTTTTTTTTTTGACGTTTCTAGAAAGGCTATAATGATTAGGCATTAGTGAATAACAATCCAGTTAGCATTGTTCTTATGTCATAATAGTCAAAACACTTGCATGCTTACTTTTTATAACCCACATGGAGCCAAATTTCCCATTAAAAACTTACAGTAGGGGAGACTGGGGTCAATAGTGACACTTTTCACATTTTCCATCCACCATAACTCAAGCAATCAATCATTATTTGTATAGTGTCGATTCATAACAACTGTTATTTCAAGACACTTTACAAAAGAGCATATGGGATAATATGCAGGAAGGATTTCTCGCGTTCCTGTTGTCCACACTTCCTTGCCGCTGAGGTGGAGGTCGTAACAGGCCATACATGAAAGAGGATGGAGGTTGTTTTTTAAGGGATTTTTAGTGTTAAACAAATACTCAGTGTAAGTATCATTGTAAAAGAAATGTGACTTGGTACGTAAGTCATTGTCTCAGTATGTTTGTCTGGCACGCTAACATTCATGTGGATAAAAGATACGTTGGTTATTCATAATGACTCCGAGTCAATTAAACTACAATTTCAACCGATATGTTGTACTTAACGGCAACACTAACTGGTGATTAAAAAAAGGAAATGCAGAACCCTTCAATAGTCAGAATGCACCACATATTCAATGTGACATCACGCTTAGGAAGAAAAGTGTGAAAGAATGTATTTTTCAACACACCTAATGTCATCAGCTTGATTCTTAAGGCCCTGACACACCAAGCAGACAGGCAGAGAACAAGTGGGGACCAAGGCCGTCTGTGGCGTCGCCTCACGTCTTGGCCAAAAAGTTGCACTTGAACACATCGCAGAGACTCCAGCCGACAGCCAATCACCACGTACGTTCTGCACGAGTGAGAGGAAATGACTCTCCATGCCAGCAGGGGGCGGTAGCTCGTTGTTATGATACGAGAAGACCATTTTCACACCGCTGTCGATCACCACTCGTATTATAGGTCGCCTACTAATGGAGAATAATGTCTGATAAAAAGTTGAAAATGGCGCTGGCGTTGTCAGCTCTTGATCTTTTAGTGGAAAAAAGAAAAGAAGAGGAGGAGACAAATAAGGAGAAACCGCACGAATGGGTGAAAGCATGGATACTACAGCGACATGCTCAAGGGGCTTTAATGAACCTGTGTCGAGAGCTGGACTGCTCACAGACTGTCGACCAAGGCCGACGGGTTGCGACGTAGCCGGACACATCGCAAAAACTGGGGCAACGACCGCTCACACTCTCCGACAATCTCCTCGGTGCATCAGGGCCTTAAGTGGTGCTATTGAGTGTGTTACAATCGCCCCTGGTCTCCCCTAAGTGATAAATTGCAAGAGCTGTTTCCCTTAATCACACATACGCATTTTGGTTCATGGTGCAGAATGAATTCTAGGGACCTGCTTTTGTTTTTCTAAACTAGACTTTTTAAATGTGATCAGTCTCTTTTTCTTCCACTGTGGAAAGGTCTGAATTGTGTATCTGTTTAACTACCTTCATTTCTTACACGACACCAAGAAGTGCACGTATTACATGTTTTGCCCCAGCATCCTTGGAAATTGACACCAAGGAACCACAGGATGCCGCCCCTCCTCCTCCTCCCCCTCCTCCTCCTCCTCCTCCTCCTCTCACAGGGCTTTAAGAGCTTGTTTTTCAGCTGCATTACATGTGAAGCCCACATATGACACGAGCACTTGTACACGATTTCATGTTTCATAACCAAACAGCCGTTGTGTTTGGATCAAAACACGTACCTGTTGTATGGAATAATAACCTTTGGAAGACTTCTCGGAATAGACTCATTTGGCATTTGGCACATGAAGCAGATTCAGAGAAATAGCCCTGACCTCATTCTGAAGAATCGATTCATATGTTTGCCCTTTTTTTTTTTTAAAGGTTTATTTTGGAGCTTTTTATGCCTTCATTTAGAGATAGGACAGCGGATAGAGTTGGACATTGGGGAGGGAGAGAGAGAGAGAGAGAGAGAGTGGGAAATGACATGCAGGAAAGGAGCAACAGGTCAGATTCGAACCCGGGACACCCGCTTGGTGGACTTTAGCCTCCACACAAGGGGCATGCACATTGACCGCTAGGCTAACGGTCCCCCAGATTTACCTATTTAAATACAAATGTAGATGGAGATGATTCATCAGTAATGGAATATATTTCATGTATGTTACAGTTTAATAACTGTAACTCACTGCAGTGAGGCGGCTTATTGGAAGGACACTCCTCTTTAAAAGTGTTGGTGTTTTTCCGTGTTTTACGTGAGTTTTGATCTCTAGTCTGTGATTTTCTGCTTCCCAGAATGGGCTATTGTGAACTGACGAAATGAAAACAACATTATCAGTGATTTCCTTCACTTTCATTGGCTGAAAAACTGCACAAACAAACCCCTACCGCTCTACCTAGCCTCAGGCGGGCCCAGCCCACTCAGGCTTATATAAAGCCCTGATCCTGAAGCTGTGCAGCCAGTGACAGGAGACACATTGAAAGACAAGCTGCACTCTGGAGAAGAATGAGACTTGAGATGCTTCAAGTTTCAAGATCGCCAGAGTTTCCTAATTGTGGGAACATGAATTCAGTTTCGATGCACGCTTCCTCCGGTGAAGATCTGGGATCTCTGAAAGGAAGCAGGAGCAGGCCGAGGTCTCACTCGTACTACAGCCGAGAGGACAGTAAGAAGTACAGTGTGCAGACTCAGGCGGAGGAAACCTATACAAGACCACGCTCCAGGTATGTGACACCTTCAGTGCAAAGAAATGTGCAGTTTTATCTGTAATCAAATGATGTTTGTGACTAAGCAAAGCAACAAGCCTGTGTTTTCAAATTAAAAATGTTTTTTTCAAAGAAATTTATTTTCAAATTTTAAATTATTAATTAAACATAAACTTCCATATAGAGTGGAAAAACTGGAACGAGGACTCCTGTCATTGGAGTAGGTAGTAGTAACAAATATGACGAACACAAAAAGAAAAACAGTCATAACGTATTCAGAAGACTAATTATCAATTCTAAATACATATACCGTAAAACTTCACTTAAAGGCCCATCCCAATTTAAGGCCTGGTCCCCTTTAGTAGCCTGCTGTAGTTGCACGTTCTGACAAATAAAGGAAGCTCTCACTTAAAGGCCCTGATGCAGTGTGTTGATTAGTTTGCAGATGACAAATATGGCACAAAAGCAGCAAGGCACAAAAACAAATATTTCTGTCTGTCCAGGAAAGACATCCCAGAGAGGCGGGGTTAAACCCTGAACTGAGACATATAGAGACAGACAACCAGCCACATTCACATTCACACCTATCCGGGCAATTTAGAGTAACAGTCAATCAATCAATGGGGCCCCCTTAGGGAGATTTTTCTACTGTCATTGCAAAATTTGCACAGATCCCGTCAAGCCAAATGGCCATTGGGGCCCAAGGCAAAAATCAATTGGGGGCCCTACAACCAGCGTTCAGCAGGGCAATTAGAGTGAATGCTGTTAGATGGGGGCCCCTAAGGGAGGTTTCCTACTGTCATTGCAAAATTTGCACATTATGGGTCACTCCTTTGGTTTAAATTTTGTCCGTCCTCTGGGGCCCCCTACTGGTCTGGGGGCCCAAAGCGGTTGCCTGCCTTGCCTGTTGACAAGCAGCATCTATGATGTTACAAAGACCCAACGTTGATCCCTCATGAGCATTTCACAAAGTTACAGGGGCAAGAAAAAACTTCCTTTGAAGAGGCAGAAATGTTGTGAAAAACAAAACTCATGATGTTCAGCCGTCTGCAGAAAGTGCACCGGCCGGGTTTGAAAAATGGGACAGGGGATGATGCATGAAGAAGGATAGGGACAGGGGGATATTTGAAAATGAATGTGTAGATTTGACCAAATCTTCCGCTCCCCTGCAGATCTTTTTACAGTATTGAGACATCGGACCATAATTATGTGCATGAGCTGGGAAACTCTGCATTATCCAGTCCACTGAGGCAGAAGGCGAACTCCAAGTCCAGGTCTAAACCAAAAAAGCACTCTCCATCAAGAGATCTCAACGGTACTGAAACAAGTTTTTTTATATTTTTTCCACATCTACACTGTTCAGGAAATTAATCTGAAGTGTATGCATGAATGTTTTTGTCCAGGCACTAAAGACACTCTGAAGCTCGTGTCCATGATCACCATCTCTGAGTCGGACAACTGGGAGATCACCTCCAACTCGGGGATGAAGTACGGGCAGTTTGTGGACTGGGAGAAGATTGATCCCGAGGCTGCCAAAAGATACCAGCAGATCCTAGAGAGCAATCACCAGCAGCTGAAAACCATGGGCCGGGAGGGATTCTGGGAAATGCCCCATACGCTGCGGGCTAAAGCGTACTATCACATCATCCACAGCATCAACTCCATGTAAGTCCCATTTTTAATTCATTCATTTATATCATAAAAAAAACCGATGTATATAGGTTAGGATGGATGTATATGACCTGAATGATGACCTGAATGATGACTTGAAAATGGCTCGATGTTGTTTTTTCAGCGGCACAGTCACTCCAGACAGAGAAGTCTACTATGAATTGTCCAAGGAGCTCTTTGGAGAACAGAAAATCAGCACCCATCCTGTGCCAGAATACATGGAGGCCGGAGAAATACCCAGGTACTTAAAAAAATAAAAAAGCTTTTATTCATTTTCCCTGCATGAACCCTCAAGTGGTCTTTTAAATGCGCCCTAAAAGAAGACTTCTCCAGCCTTTCCATTAGTTTCAGATATTCCCTCTTATCAACAAGAGAGTGGAGGAAAACATACTGGCAATGAAACAGTTGATTACATGCATGGAAATTGCATTAGTTCAAGCATTATACAATCCATTAGGGCTTTCACACTTCTGAAATCTCCTGAAAAACTTGGCAGTCCTCCCGAAATTAACTAAGATATTATCCGGAGTGCATATGTGAAAACGGCTTCTCTCTCCAATCTCTGAAATAACGGTTTAAAAAGCCCAAACATAAATCTTTGCTCACAATAGTTTCATGTTGGATCTCTGTGAATAATATAACAAAGAGTATAGCCTTGACTTGCTCTTTTTGTAAACTGTCTTGAGAAAAAATTTGTTATTAAGTTGTGTCATACAAATAAAGTCGGATAGATTGATGGATGAATTGGTTCATGTATCATGGACATTTCTATATTGTATGAAAATAATGATAACATGTAGGCTATGCAGCATTTTTCTGCCTGAAAACAAAAAATGTTTTGTAAACGGGACACGTGTCTTTTCTTTGTTTAGATACTGTCTCAACAAAGCCGGCCTGAACGCCGTCAAAAAAATCCTCCTCTGCCTCGGGAAATACTTCCCGGACATGAACTTCTGCCCCATCCTACCTGAGCTGGTCTCCCTCCTCCTCCACTTCAGCCAGGACGAAGCCGAGTGTTTCCACAGCGTGTCCCGCCTCATCTGCTACCAAGACCCCAACAAGCGCTACATCGACCAGACCTTCCTCACCTACCGGGCCTCCTGCATGACCTTCGGCGACCTCGCGAACAAGTGTTGCAGAGGCATCCGGAAGCTGATCGCCAGCTCTCACCAGAACCTGTTTGAGTTTTACTCCGACTGGATAATGTGGATATTCGCAGACCTTCCGTTCACATATGCGATCAGAGTGCTGGATGTGTACCTACTGGAGGGCTACAAAGTGCTCTACAGGTTTGTCAAGTCCTTAAATCTGAATGTAGAACTTTGAAGCATCACAGTGAATTAATCTCACACTCACTTCTCGTAGGGTGGCGCTGGCTTTGCTCGGCCTCTACAGAGTGTCCGTCTCGTCTCGGGTGGCGGATGTGGAGGACTTCAGGACAGACATGAAGAGCTTTGTGCAGAACATAGCTCGACACTGTACGGCCGAGAACCTCCTGAAGAGGGGCTTCATGGTTCCCATGGCCACGCGGAGAGAGCTCAACCTCCTGTTCAACGCCAACAAGGACTCCCTCATGCAGAAAGGAGTCAGCATACACCAGAAGAGGTCAGTTCAAGCAGGAAAAGGAAGAAAAACAGCAGGTTGAGTTGTCTTCTTTTTTTCACTGTTTCTGTTTTTTTATGTGTCTAAATAAAGGCAGTCGGTTGAGTCAGTGGATTTCAACAACATCACCTCCAGCGTTGTGACAGCGACTGAGATGAGAGTTGTTTGGGCTTGGATACCCGAGCGCTTCGCCCTCTTTAGTCCCATTCGGCTGTTTAGCACGGCTGAACACGGAAGGAGTCTGGCTTCGTAAGTAAACTTCTCTGACCCAGAAACTCATTGAGAAACTTTCTGGGAGACAACAAAAAAAAAAAACAGAAGATTTGTTACTTTAGACCAAACGGTAACCTCCTGTGTTAGAAAAATAAGTGTAAAAAATTGCAGTGAGGCCGGCTCCAAAAAGCATACACTATATGCAACATGGACGTCACCCATTGATTACAGAAGTGGTTTTATGAAACCCAACGGTGATGGCGGCCATACTGGAAATGTTGTGTCGACCTAACTTGCAGTCAATAACAGAGACAGACGGGGAGCTGAGTGGTCCTTAAGCCTCCTGGCAAACAGCTACAACACACCCGCTTGAAGTCATATCATATTTTTTTTTTTTATGGATTTAGAAAAAAGTTTTGCATACATTTACATAATACATGGCGTGATTGGCTTTCCTACCAGCTGCTTGGTAGCGGTTTGCAAGGAAGCTTCCCTGTTTCTACATTGATCAAAAGTTGGGTTAAGACAGCATTTCCAACGACTTCAAACAGTCTCCTCAGAAACCACATGGTGACATCACTGAGATTATGTCCATTTTTATATAATATAATATTATATAATGTTGGATATCAAGTTAAAGCAACTGTGAGGAACTTTGAGTTTATGTGGATTTTGGCACCCCATGTGGACAAAGTATGTACTACCAAGATTAATAAGAACATCTGATTTCAAGATACATACAAAGTAAAAAATATATATTTTCCCGGGCAGATGTTTTCTTATGTCTTGTTTTCTGCTTTTAAAATCTCGATGTATATATGTAAGAATGGATGTATATGACCTTAATTGATGAATCCTCTGTTTGAAAGTCTTGAAATATGATGTTTATCTGGATTTGTCATGTTTTGCACCATTTATGAAACTAGTGGGTATCCTCACTCACACTGCGTCCATCTTTCATACAATCAGGGCTTTGGAAGCATTATTTTTGTTTTAAAAAAACCTGGTTTCTTCCTCTTCCAAAACCCCTATTTGATATGGCCGTATCATCACATGCATTACTAAAAGAGGTCAGGTCATTGTGGGCCACTGAATACTCAAACCATGTACCAGCATTAAAAAGCATTCTCAGGTGTAATTACATAACAGAGGTGAGTAATATGTTGTCACTGTCAACATGTTTTCACGGAGATGTCAAAGTGACTGACAGTTTACTGGCAGGTCACAACTGTTTATGTCAAAGAAATATCTTGATGTTGTAACCCATGGTGTAATTTAATATGGCAATGCTTTTATAGAGGGGGGGGGGAGTTCATGTAAAGTTAATGTTCATTCTGTTTTACATTCCAGTGTTGGTATATCATTTAAACATTAATGATTATTTTCTCATTCAGATTCTATTCACATGTGGAGGGACACGAACCAGCGGTCTTGATTATCAAAACTGTGGATGAAGAGGTAAAACTAAAAGACACCATGAATACCTCCGGGTCCAGATGTTCAAAGCGACCCAATAGGAATAAAGCCATCAGATAGGATCAAATCCTGAAACAGAAAGTGCTGTTCAGCAGAATTGGAACTAAATGCTGGATGGATTGTCTGATCCTGTTTATAAAGAGTTGATATTTTTTAAATCTGAATGATTCCTGTCCAGGTTCAAAACTCTTTGAACAACTCGGCCCTGATGATTTGAGTCAACAGCTCTCAGGTTTACCATGATATGACAAGAACATCAAATAATTTATTGTATGATTACATTCTTATGTCTCAGGTCTTTGGGGCCTTCCTGCCAACAGATATGATCGAAAGAAGAAAGCATGACTCCGGTGGACTTACATACTTTGGAACTGGGGAATGTTTCGTTTTCACGGTGAGAAACATTTCCTTCCTTTCCTCGTCTTGAATCAAACTTTAAACTTTCACTCTCAGGTTTGCTGCTAGATACATCGCAAAAACAAATTTGGACCAACTTCCGACATAGAGGCGTTGCTTGTCAACAGGCAAGGCAGGCAACTGATTGGGGCCCCAGACCAGTAGTGGGCTCCAGAGGACCGACAAAATTTAAACCAAAACAGCAACCCAGAATGTGCAAATTTTGCACTGACAGTAGGAAACCACCCTAAGGGGCCCCCATCTGACAGCATTCACTCTAATTGCCCTGCTGCATGCTGGTTGTAGGGCCCTCAATTGAGTTTTGCCTTGGACTTGACTGGATCTTAATATACAGTTTATGGTCTCAACAAGAAACCTACTCTCTCTCCTTCAGCTTCGTCCCAGCATGGAGCGTTACCAGCAGGCCGTGGTCAACATTATGACCAGGAGAGCTTCTCCTCCTCAGCAGGTTCAGCCCGGCAACGACGCATCCCCTGAGGTCCCCAATACCGGGTGGTGCCCTGTCACCTCCACCCCCGGCAACACAACTCTGACATGTCCAGCTGGAACCCCCCAGGACCCCAGTTACCTGACGATCCCCTGCACTGCCCCTTCAGAGGAACCCATGACCGCCAAGGAGCCAAAGAGACCCAAAGAACTGGAAGCCTCCATGTTCATTGCAGGCAGCGACAGTCAGCTTTTTATCGGTATGTCTGTTCATCATATTTAGAACATAAGAACCAGACCGACTTAAGATAATGTGCTGATGCATGTGTCCTCTTTTAGGTGGTGATGGTGGCCATGCACTCTGCTTAGAGAAGGACCTAACGGGAGGATACTCAGACCCTTGTGACACGTTCAAGAGCATCCCACTCTGCAAGGGACATTTCAAGATCCAGGCACTCGAAGTGTGGGGCATCCAGAACTCAATTTCCCTTTCTCACACTTTTCTCTCTCTGTAACAAAAAATGAAAGAGCTGCGTTGTGATTTACATCTTTTGTAAAATGCTGAAGGTTGCTGTTTCGTTGGACTTGTTCATAGGCCGATATGAATTTCAAATACTTATTTTGTTAATCATTTTCAAACAACTGAGTGAGATGTCACTTGCATGTTTTCTACACGTTAAAGCTCCTGTGAGGAGTTTTCAGCTGGTTATGAAAAAGACTGAAATTACTATTGATACCTCTCTATGACCTAAGAAGGTGTAAGAGACCATCAGCGAGAAGACTGATTATTTTTATGTGGTTATTTTTAATGCCTGTAAACACTGCTGCAGGGTAGTAGTCAGACGAGGTGTCTGCCTAAACAGGCATTTTTTTTACATTATCCGAGTCAAGGATTCATAGTGAATTATATGTTTGCCTGTTATAAAGAAGCAGGGTGATACTCTGGGGAGACAACACTACTTAAGTCTGTTTAGCATAAAATCAGCAAAAGGATAAAAGTTTTCGGAGAACAGTAACATCTCTTTGATGTATCTGCTTCATCTGTGTTGGTTTCCCTATTATTCAATTTGTATGAATCTTTCCTAATAAGACGTGTTGGGGTAGAAACATATGTTCTATTCTTATACATCTGTCCAGCCTTGTGATGATAGTCCAGGTACTATTGACTAAAATAAACTGCCTTTGGTACCCAAGTTCATGAATACTTTGCTGCGTTTTAGTTTTGTTGGATCTACTGAAAATATAAAAAGTGAACTCATAAAATGTGCTTGATGTTTGTCTACTTGTGTGTTGTTTCTTTTTTTTCAACATAATTACTGAAACAATGTCAACGTCCATAATACCTTTAAGTGAGTAAAGTTTATAAAGCACATTTCAAGAACAGATGTCACAAAGGGCTTAGCAATAAAGAATTGAACAGAGATAATCGACAGTCACACAAAATCAAATACAGACAGATCCAACAAAGGCAAGTCTGAACAGATGGATCTTTAGCTGCTTTATAAAATGTCCACAGAGGTCAATGCTCTCAAATCCGGGGGAAGACAATTCCAAAGATGTGGTGCCACAACCTCAAAGGCCCAGTCTCCTTTGGTTTTTTGCCCCATGCAAGGAAAATCCAGCAGACCCTGGTCAGAGGACCTCAGGGACCTGCTGGTGTTATATGGCCTCAGATGCTCAGTGACATAAGCCGGAGCTTGACCATGCACGGCTCTAAACACAATGACAAGAACTTTAAATTGGATCCTGAAACTGATGGGGAGCTGGTGGGAAAACACAAGGATAGGTGTAACAGATTTAAACAACAGAGGGCCCAAAACAGACCCTTGTGGAACACCACAAGTTATGTCTGAAGTTGTACGTCAGTGTGTGCGTTTGGCTTTACTACTGTAACTATGGTCATGACCTTTATTTGACCAGGAGGTCCCAAATCTATTTTACCAGACCTGACCAAGGTAGCAGCCAAACACAACCACATTAAAAGACAACACAACTCGACATGGGAAAACCACAACAACATTTTTAAAACGGTATTCAAATACACTGTGGGCTTGTATGAAAAACATCCACTTGCCTCTGTCACCAGCTTCTTGAGTGAAACCAAGAAGATTACAGAGGTAATCCAGAAGTTAGCACAGTATTGCTTTAAAAAATAATAACACAACAGACTCCTTGACTTTTTGTTGACTCCTTTTTCTTTAAATAAAAAAAAAAAAACTGTCGATGTAGACAAAAGGAAGGCTAGACCAGTGGTTCACAAACTTTGCAGCCCGTGACCCCCACTATAACGGTGCTGCAGACTGGGGACCCCCACTGTCCCAGGAGGTGGTGAAAACATTGAATGTTGCGCACAGCCGCCCAAGCACAATAGGCACTGGCATTAAAATACCACACAATAGCCCATACACCGTAACTTATTGTAAGAAACTACTTTTTTGTATGTTTTTTTTTTAACACAAAAGGTTAAAATATGCAATTTTACACCACTTTGTATTTTTATAATTTTTGGAAGGAATCGACCCCCCCAGTTTCTCTGAACCCTCACTTTGGAAACCACTGTGCTAGACTACTGGACTCTTAACACAAAGCAAGTAAGTAGCAGATATAGGCTCCAATTAATTCATAAAGTTGTCTCATACGGCTTTCTTCAGAAATAATCCAACATCCGAATTTACGAGGGGTACGTGAAGGCAGCGTGAAAGGGACGTGCATGTAGCTGTTTAGTTTTTTCTCACACTGCAGTAGCTTGAGAAGCTGCAGCTACTAGCTCTCCTTTAACGACATGTGTGTGGTGTATTGTAAACGTACAGAGGACAGAGATAATGGGACAGCCTTTTGTTAAGGATCACTAGAAAGGTGGGACTCAGTTTTGCATGCTCTACTTTTTAATGTGTGGCGTTTCATGCTTAGCACGACAACAGGGTTAGCTTTGCGAGGTTAGCTTCCTTCAGCTAGTTCAGTCTGTGTGCATCATGAGTCCCAGAAAAACACTCATCCACACACTGGGTTTGTTTTTTTTGGTTTGTTGTTGGAGTTTCTCTTGAAGCAAAACATATTAAGCTTTATTGTCATGCACATTAACAGTTTATTATCAACATTGTGTTGTTGTTTCACGAATCAGCGTTGGTTACTTTGCATTTCTACACACATCAGTAAAACATGAACACAATGTTTAGAGCTCATCCTGCTCTACTACAATAAGATGCTGACATGCAGTGTAAACAGGTTAGCCACACAGATGTTTCTGCACATAAATTGCATCTATCCGTTTTTAAAAGATAATATATTAAAGCAGAATCACAGAAGAGGGAGTGATGTTTTACTCAATTCAATTCAAAAAACTTTATTTGTCCCCGGGGGGCACACAGAGCAGTAAAGTGACAACAGTGCAAGTAGACGAAACATTTTAACCTAAATATAAAGTGTCGATTTAAATACAACTGAAAGCTTAAACTTAACTTCAAAATAAAATATAAAAGAGTAGATATAAGTACTGAGAGCAGTGCTGACAACATCTCCACCTGCAGTGTGATATTACTTCTTTTTTTACAACAGTTATAAAGCAGAAAATAGTGGATTTAAACTCAACAACAGATTATTTCTTATCTCCACCAACTCAACTAGTTCAACAATTTAACTAAAGCTAGACTGTTGCTCAGCAGTGTGGTCCCTGAAGTAAAAAAAATCCCATTCATTTTCTCCATAGCAGATTTGATTATTATCCATAATGTCGTTTACCATCCAGGGTCGACTGACCACGACCTGCCAGCGTGTGAAACATCGTCACGTGCTCCTGTAAGAGACACGAGTTAGCATGACGTCAACATTATTATGAGAAAAACTAAGTTTATTCACGATATCGGGACAAAGAACTACACTACCCACTATCATAGAGTGCCACAGAGACGCCTGTGATTGGTTGAGCTTGCTGTTACCATGGCAATGATTCCGTATGCAGACAGACAAGTTTCGCTTGCAGACTACCTACTTAGTTAGTTAGTTAATTAGTTAATTAGTTAGTTAGTTAATTAGTTAGTTAGTTAGTTAGTTAGTTAGCGAACATGAAAGGTCGTAATAACCTTGTCATGCCGCAGTGAAAAGCCTATAATTTATATTTTCCATAACACAAACTACAAGATCGTATTAACAGTATAAACACAATAACAATGACAAAAGTTATTCTTTTTTTCCCCCAAGCACCTTTGCTACTCAGTCGGTATCCATGGTTACCACAGAACAGAAACTTAGTAGGCTAGTGTGAACCTTTACTTGTCTTGTATGTTAAAAATGAAAACATTAAAATTAGAGTCTGTTGTGTGGTTTTGAGGTTTTAGACTGATGAAGAGAGAAAATCACTCAGCTGTAAATGTCATTTGTATTTCCTGCACATAGAGATAGCACCAGTTAGAGCACTAAACAATATTTGTTGGTGTGGCTTTCGCAAAATAAAGGTCACCACCCCCTATCGCATGCTCACCATCATGATAATATATCATATTTATACCCTATAGCCTATCCATACAATCTTTCTCAACAGGCGATAGTACCAAAAAATGCATCACTGGGCTCTGTGTTTTAAATGTGCTGTCGGTAGCTTACTTCACACCTCTCACCATCCACTGAGCGCTGAACTACCGTAATGTAGCTAGTAGGAGTGCAAACATGTATAGTACTAAAAGAGCAACTCAGCTGCAGAGAGACTGCTCATTGTAAGACAGTTTGAACTTGTTTTCTGTCTGAGAGACCCCCAAAACACAGTCTGTCTTAAATACCGCTCGGCCTATATTCTGGATTTTACGGTAATTGTAAGAAATCTAGTATGTTAGCCCAGCACTGAAAACTTGCTCCACAATACTGATGAAAACTTTCCATTTCCTCTGTGTCGCTCTGTTTCTGTGGTGTCTGTTTGTAGGTTGCAGCCATGGGCCCTGACGCTGAATCTGTCCCTAAAACATCATCTTCAGATGAAGGTTAGTAAGCGACGAGTCTTTGCATTCCCACATTTTTAAGGTGAACATTCAAGCATCAAGTATTAAGAGGCATACGTGTTGTGTTCTTTGGTCCCTCAGGTCCGGGAGTAATCGTCGTCAAGGTGATCTCAGACTCAGATTCGGACGATGCATCGTGCACCGCCGAGAACTCCAAGCAGTCGGAGAGCAACCCGGCGGACAAGTGTCACCCCTGCTCCGTCTGCGGCAAGGTGTTCGACAGGCCGTCCAAGCTGGAGCGACACAAACCGGTCCACACGAGGGAGCCCAAGACCGTTCATCAGTGTGAGCACTGCGAGAAGAGTTTCACGCAGCAGGAGAAGCTGATCCGACACCAGAGCTGCCACAATCGGACTAACAAACACCCGTGTCCCGACTGCGGGAAAGTGTTTAACAGGCCTTCCAAGTTAGAGAGGCACAAGCGCACACACTCCAAGAAACCCAAGGTGCCTCATCAGTGTTCGTTCTGCATGAAGACGTTCAGTAAACTTAACAAACTGGTGCGTCACAAGCGGATGCACACGGGAGAGAAACCTTTCACCTGCTCGGTCTGCGGGAAAGGATTCTCCGAGTCCGGTCACTGCAAAGCGCACGAGAAGACGCACCAGGAGCAGCCGGAGAAACCCCACCGCTGCGCCGACTGCGGGATGTGCTTCTTCAAGGCGTCGGAGCTGCGTCGGCACTTCCGCTCCCACACGGGGGAGAAACCGTTCAGATGCAGCCTGTGCGAGAGCCGCTTCTCCCGCTCGGAGGGACTCAAGAGACACATGAGGAGCCACACGGGGGAGCGGCCGTACAAGTGCATCGTCTGCGACAAGGGGTTTTACTCGCGTCACGATATGAACATTCACGGGCTGACCCACTCGGGGGAGAAACCGCACCTTTGCCCCGTGTGCGGGAAGGGCTTCTCGCAGCTCGGCAACATGAAAGAGCATGAGCAGAACGTCCACATCAAGTCGGAGAAGTACATCTGCAACTTGTGCGGGGCGACGTTCACTCGGTACAAGTCGCTGACGAAACACCAGCGGACGCACACGGGAGAAAGACCCTACCTGTGCCTCACATGCGGCCGCAGGTTTTCATGGAGCCACTCTCTGAGCAGGCACCGCAGGTCGCACGCGCACAGGCAGATGTCGATGGACGCAGCCAAAGACACGTCGAGTTTTGAAGCGCCCTCTGAGAATCAAGCAGCTGTTGAAGAAGTGAAATCTTAATGAAAGTTTGAGCTGAAATGTACCAATTTGTAAGACATTAAAATGTTGTTTTGAGGCTTTTTTTTTCACATTTCTATTTGTTGCTTGTTTTTTTATTCATCCACTAATTATCAGAGATTCTCAGTCAGCTAGCAACGAGCCTCTTGTCGTCTGATAAATATTTGTTGATCAAAAAGGAAAAAGCTTTTTGTGACAGAAGTGTTTCAACTGCTGAAATATCACAGACTTTGTAATTGATTCTAAAAATGGTTACTAACCAAAAGTGCTGTTTCAACCAAAGCAGAGTAGACCCTTCAGAAGCCCCAAAACTGCAACCAGATTTTCTAGAATGAAACATTCAGCTGTAAGATTAAAAGAGGAGTCAGTAGCATTGTGTGCTCATCGCCACACTCACTGCAGGAAGTATTGTGTACGTTTACTTCCTGTAGTACAATCATTGCATTTTTCATGATGTGAACATTAACATGAACAGTATGCTGTGCAGAAATGTAATTAACAGATTTTTCTTTGTGATACTTTATACAAACATGGGGGCCTGCTATCAGTAAATAAGTACATCACATGTCGGTGAAGCCCACAGCAGGGTTACAGCATGGCATTCAACTTTGAGAGACATAATCAAGCTAAGTGCTGACATTTATTTTAAGTTGTGCTGTTCAGGATTTAAATTGAACGTCGAGCTACGCGCTTAAGGTCTGTCTTTGATTGTAATGATATTAAAGCCACCAATAAACTGTCCTCACACAGCAGCTGTTGCATTTAAAGCTTTTTTATTTCATAATGTACGACACTGGTTAAAGCTCCAGTAAAGGTCTTTTTGCTTTGTGTTGATTTTGGCGCCCCCTGTAGACGAGCAGTATCTCTTTTTCTATGCTTATCTTGTCCTGTATACGACTGAGTAGTGTTGTCTGATTTAAAAAAAAGATCTAATCTTGCTTTTTTAAACAGCCTACTGAATCAGTCTGTGAGTATTCAGGGAGTGAAAAGGTGAAATGATGTTTTTGTACATGTTAAGTTCAAGCTCAAGATGCTTGAGATGCACGAGTGGTAACAAATCGTTACTGTCACAGCAAAATGATCAAAACAATCAACAAGAATATAACATACAAATCATTTGACAACTATGTGATATCTTAATATAAATACATAGCCTGTATACACATAAACATATGCAAAGATACATTAAATATAAGATAATTCATTACTATCAATTAACCATAAGTTAAATTAATAATAATAACAACAATAATAATAATGTATTTCCCCCCAAATCGTATAAACGTTGTGAATCTGATAAATCATTTTCAAAGGTTTCTGATCATTCCTTAGACGGATGAATTGTGAATCTGGTTGGATGTTATGATTTTTATTAATAACACATTTTGTCCTCCCTTTTGTACCAACAGTTATATTTATTAGCAGGCTCAATAACTCACAAAATAAAATCATCCTGGCCTTGACAAGCATCAGCACTACACACATGGAAACACTGGTACAGTACAGCTGCATCACCTGAAGGCGTTGTTTTTATTTATTTAATGATTTATACCATGCATTGCATTTATGTTGCATGTTTTTATACTGTGCTTTGTATTTTATGTCTTTTGTGTTGTCTTATCTTGATCCTGAGGCTGTAATAAAGTTCTGATGGATTGATTGACTGAAGCCAGATAGTCACACGTCCATAGCCTATCAACAACGATAACGTTAACCAGGAAGTGCTCGAGTGCTGACGTCAGCTCTCGTCAAGCAGAAGCCAGCTTTATCAAATGTGTAATGTTGTATAAAAAAGACAATACAGCATTATTGTATTGTCTTTTTTATCCTACTGCAATTTTAGATATTCTTCTCCTATGTATTAATTTTAATATCTTATTGCTTTCATGTATCATATTTTATTTTTTAATTTTTATACATATTTTTTTAATTCTTATTGGTGTGCATTAGTCTCAATGATTTTATCAATGATTTTATAAACTAATAATTGTTATCAATAACTTTTCTGCACTCTTGTAAAGCACTTTGATTTAATTTAATTTGTCTGAAAGGCATTATATAAATAAAGTTTGATTGATTGATGTTGTATTGTATGTGAAACGGTTTAATTAAAAACAACACTTGCTTGAAACCTTTAATTTATAAGTGAACAACTGTTTGGCACGAAACATTTCCGACAGCACCTGAAGGCACCACGGACAGTGTCGAACGGTAGTCCAGCTCGTTGCTAGGTAACGTCTGTTGTGTTGATCAGGCCTGAACGGAGGATTTACTTTAGCGTTCGTTGTTTTTTTTTAATGGCAAAGTTATTTTTTTTGATGAAGGAAACTTTTTAACGACAGGGGACGGGTTACTTTGTTTTTGTCCGTCATGACTTTTGAAACATCTAACGTGTCTGAACCGTGGCCTCAGCTCCAGCTGGAGTCTGTTATTGGGTTTAATGGTAAGTTTTTAACTTTACGGAACTTCGTGTCTACTAGTTAAATTTCAAACATGAAAATAACTAAATTTGCGATTAAATATTTCAAACAAAATACGACACCGTGCTCAAGACCAAATGCAAGAGAACCAAAAACTGTAAATATTAACGGACGAAGCCTGAGTGACGTCACCCAGGCTCATCTGCAGCAGCCGCCATGCTGGAAATCCTGTCTCAGCCTAATTTTCAGTCAACCTAAGGACAGGCACAGGCGGGTTTAAAGCCGCCTGACAAACTGCTACACCGCACCCACCTGTCAATCAAGTCAGCTAAATGCCTAACTGTGGATAATAGTCTGACATCGTTCATAAAATCAGAACGGATGCGTTATAAAACATTCTAACTCCACACAGAGAGGCTCCCGTCCGACAGGGATTCAAACCAGGACCTTCCGTGCTGTGAGGCAACAGTGCCAACCACTGTACCACCGTGCAGCCCTGGATTAGATCATGAACAGGAGAAAGTTGTTATGTCTTAATTTAGATTATAAACTGTATCATAAACTTTCTTTCTCTATTCAACATGTTAATCATCTCGTGGTGTGTTGGTCTTTGTTTCATCAGGTCATGTGGTTTCTGGCCTGAGAGTCCACCCGGACAGAGAGCACCTGATCTATCCGCTGGGCAGCACAGTCATCCTGAAGAGAATCAAAGATGACAAGCAGGAATTTCTTCAAGGACACACAAACAATGTATCCTGTGTTTCAGTGTCCAGAAGCGGATCTTACATTGCCTCTGGACAAGTCAACTTCATGGGCTTCAAGGTAACCACAGTTATCATGCCTTACTGGTATTTTTTTAAGTCTTATTTGCTTGAGAAGTTTGGGATGGTGAAACAGATATTCCTCATTTATGTAGCCTGACATATTGACTACAACACAACAAATATTTTCCCAAGGCTCCGATTATAATCTGGGACTTTGCTGAGCGGAGGGAGTACACCCAGATGGTGCTCCACAACTCCAAAATAGAAGCGCTGTCCTTCTCTCCACATGACAAATACCTGGTGTCCCTCGGAGGTCAGGATGACGGCAGGTAAGCCGAACGACACACTTTTCGGCCAATTTAATTCCGCTTCTACTTAATCAGAACAACAAGCTTTCAAAAACACAAAGTGTCGATAAGAGATGAAAATGTGACTTTTTCAGAATTGTGGTGTGGAATATCGAGACCAAGCAGGCCATCTGTGGGAGCCCAGCGTCAGCTCAGAGCGCTGGTGACTGCCTCACGGTGCACTTCTCAAACACTAATGACAATGTGTTTGTTTCTGCTGGGAGGTAAACACGCCTCCTCTGCTTGTCTACAAAGTCACAAGATATCTATTCATACATTGTAGTTGCCCCGCCCCCTCCTCATCAGAATCAGAATCAGGTTTTATTGCTAAGTACATTTACACATACAAGGAATTTGGCTTGGTGTATTGGTGCTAAACAGTTAACAGGGAAATAAAGCAGAACTAGCAACAACTTAAATAATACAGTATAAGAAGCTGTTACAATATATAAAATAGAATTATAAAAAAAAAAAAATAAAAAATAAAAATAAAAAACACAAATCTACAAAAGGTGCAATGTAGGAGCTGTGTAGTGGATAGCTCATACATACCTACTGCCAAAGATGTGATGTCTCTCTAGCGCCCTCTCAGTAATGACGACGCCATTTCTTATTGTCATTCAAAGAACATTTTGATATCGCTGCTCTCTCTTTGGACAGTGAGACATTGCGAGTCTGGGAGCTGGACGTTCATAACAGGAAAATCCGGCCCACAGAGTGTCAGACAGGCAAGCTGAGGAGGATTGTCAACTGTGTCGAGGTATGATACTATTTTAAATTCATGAGTTTTATAAAGAGTTAGATTTGCCTGAAGTCAATAAGCAGTGCAGTGCAGCATTGATGCATTAAGAGGACAAACACAGCTCAAAGAGGATGAACATTACATGCAGATGTTTGCGGACCCTCAATGTGTTCATTTTGGTCAATCCCCCAAAACAACAACAGGCAATGTTAATACTGTTGTTGAAAACTCCACAGATTTCAGAGGATGACCAGTTCATTTACTGCGGCACCACCAGTGGAGACATCATGAAGATCAACCTGGAAAAGAGGCTCATGGCAGACTGTGGTCCGCTCAAAACCAAATACAGCCAGGTAGGTCGACACTTTGATTCTGTATGAAGTACTTCATCCTGTTTCTCTTCTTGTTTGTAGATATGTTTCCTTCAATCCTTTCCTCATAGGATCCAGAATCTGTATTTTATTAAATGTGGAAACTTTTGGCTTTTACTTCCTGGATCTATCTCAGGCAAACAAGACGCCCCCCAGTCTGTCCAGATTTTGTTCTGCTGTAATCAAAGAGAGCAACACATGTTCTCTGAATATCTATGAATTAATTCCTCTGCGTCTTATATTTATGGTGTCTTATCTTAATACTCTGTAAACTTGCCTTCATGTCTGCAGGGTGTCAATGTCCTAAGGGCACTGAAGTCTGGAGACCTGCTGGTAGGATCTGGATCAGGCACCTTCTCTCTGTGCTCCAGGACTAACTTCAAGACTCTAAAGTGAGCTTCACAACGCATTAAGAATACTCATATTT